TGTTTTGTATGTCGGAGGAATGCCCGAAGTGATGCAGGTCTCCGGTTTTTTCCGCTTTCTGGAATCCCACAGTCATGGTTCTGACAAACCTAAAAACACAACCCGGGGGAACCGGGATTCGAACCCAGGTTTCTGGTGAGCTCAATGGATGCAATGGGTGCAGCTCAATTTGGTGTTCCCAACCGTATAGTGCGTTATATTGTTAAAGGCGGCGTAAAGCCATACTCACTCACTCACTCACTCAAATCACTGCATGATCTAACCATCTAGTAAATACTTGTATTCACACAATTGAAGAATAACCCGTCAACGGTGTCGACCTGCGTAAGAGGCAACTGTTTTGCTCGCTGTTTTGGGGGACAAATGTTACCGTATCCCAGTTGTGTAGATCGATGCTCATGATTTTGATCACTGGATCGTATGGTCAATATTGATGAGTGCGGCGTAAAACAACAAACAAACAAACAGTGTCGGCCTGACATAATATATAGGTTTAGCTCATGTCATTTTTACTGCCAAGCAGAAGGAAGAGGATGGTGGTAGTTTTGATACAGTATTGTTGTGTTGGAGCTGTAGTTTGCAGTGTGTCGGTGATCGTCAACTCCAGTTTTAAAGTGAACAGTTTCTTATCCCTTCAGTTTATGTCTTGTATAAGCGTGAACGGTTTGGCTGCACGGTCAATAGCTGCTCTTTGACAACCTGTTCTGCAACATAATGTCATGGTGACATACATGTATACAATTTAAAATTAGTTTATTGAAATAAATGTTGTAATATTTGACTGTTAGGACATGTGTACATCAGGCGCCGTGTACTCGCGCTGCAGTTAGTGCTTGGACACGTAGTTATAGACTTATATACATGGAGAATGTGATAAACTCACTTATACACCACCGGCGAGGCATCTGTCAAACCGTCGTTATCTCAAGTAACATGGCAATGTGTAGGTCGAACTTGGTTGCCATGATTTGTCTTGCACTAGATAAACTCCCACAACCTGCTATCGATTTCCCCTCCACGCAGCAAGTGCGTTTGACCGCTTCACACCCCAGCGTGCACTTCCGTCCGGTTGGCGGGAGAGATGTGTCTATATATGTATGTGTATGTCATTATACTTTCTATTTTAAATTCTTCACTATTTTAGGGGGTGGGACTCTCGAATACATTGTGGGATATATGACATATGTTACGTTGTTGGATGTCATGGATGATATATGTTATGTTATGTTGTTGTATGTCATGGAGTGTGAGATATATGACATATGTTATGATGTTGTATGTTGTGGGGTGTGAGATATATGACATATGTTATGTTGTTGTATGTCATGGAGTGTGAGATATATGACATATGTTATGTTGTTGTATGTCATGGAGTGTGAGATATATGTATGTTGTTGTATGTCATGGATGTCATGTGAGATATATGACATATGTTATGTTGTTGTATGTCATGGAGTGTGAGATATATGACATATGTTATGTTGTTGTATGTATGTCATGGAGTGTATGTCAGATGATATGACATATGTTTGTTGTTGTATGTCATGGAGTGTGATGTGGGGTGTTGTGTGGTTATGTGATATATGAAATATGTTGTTGTTGTTGTTGTCATATGTCATGGTTATGTGTTGTATGATGGATGTGAGATATATGACATATGTTATGTTGTTGTATGTCATGGAGTGTGAGATATATGACATATGTTATGTTGTTGTATGTCATGGAGTGTGAGATATATGACATATGTTATGTTGTTGTATGTCATGGAGTGTGAGATATATGACATATGTTATGTTATTTAGATATATGTCATAGGAGATATATGACATATGTTATGTTGTTGTATGTCATGGAGTGTGAGATATATGACATATGTTATGTTGTTGTATGTCATGGAGTGTGAGATATATGACATATGTTATGTTGTTGTATGTCATGGAGTGTGAGATATATGACATATGTTATGTTGTTGTATGTCATGGAGTGTGATATATGATGTTATATATGACATATGTTATATGTTGTTGTATGTCATGGAGTGTGTAGATATATGACATATGTTATGTTGTTGTATGTCATGGAGTGTGAGATATATGACATATGTTATGTTGTTGTATGTCATGGAGTGTGAGATATATGACATATGTTATGTTGTTGTATGTTTGGGGGGTGGGGGGTGGGGTGATATATGAAATATGTTATGTTGTTGTATGTCATGGAGTGTGAGATATATGACATATGTTATGTTGTTGTATGTCATGGAGTGTGAGATATATGACATATGTTATGTTGTTGTATGTCATGGAGTGTGAGATATATGACATATGTTATGTTGTTGTATGTTGTGATATATGACATATGTTATGGTGTCATGGAGTGTGATATATGAAATGTATGTCATGGAGTGTGGGTGATATATGAAATATGTTATGATGTTGTATGTTTGGGGGTGTGGGGGTGATATATGAAATATGTGTTGTTGTATGTTTGGGGGTGGGGGAGGTGGGGTGATATATGAAATATGTTATGATGTTGTTGTATGTGGGGGAGGGTGGGGTGATATATGAAATATGTTATGATGTTGTATGTTTGGGGGAAATATGTTATGGGAGTGATATATGAAATATGTTATGATGTTGTATGTTTGGGGTGGGATATATGGAAATATGTTATGTTGTTGTATGGTGGGGTGTGATATATGAAATATGTTATGTTGTTGTATGTTTTGTGGGAGACACTTATGCAACCGGTATTACGAGTGTACAAGAACCCGTATATCCTAGTTTGCACATCCACGTTTGTACTTCATAAAACGCAGAACCAGTCACCGTCAAACCTAAATCCATTAAAGCCAAACAACGACTGAGCCAAAGCTTACAGGCTAAAACTCGGCGTCAACGTAACAAAGCTTTGATTGAAGCGATACCAAATATACACAGTCGATTCTGCAGACAGGGGCGAGTGAACTAAGCTCCTGACAGCCGCTTGTGTGAAGGAGGGCCAATCCGTTGTGTGGAGTTCCAACTCTCCATTGCAAGAACCACTGACCTGGAACTGAAACCTATGATTGAGAAAGGTGTTTGGAGAACTGTGGAATGACTGCAAAGTAGTAATGTAGACATACTGTACAACGTGTAAGAAAGTAGAATATCACGTTAGCCTTAAAACAAATTGGTAGAAGAATTCGTTGAGAACGTGATGTTAGGGAGAAGAGATGTTATTTAATTGAGTCATACACCGTGTTTTTTAAGTGATCTGAGAAAATGCTTCGGTGATATCGGTGTTGAGTGGACTTCATATCCTCCAGGTATGGTACCGACAAACCAAACTTAATTATCTGAGATAATCTGGGATTCGAACCAGGGGCAAGCACATTCTGGAAAGCCAGTCCGCGCCCCACTAGTAAAGAATAAGTAGAACTGTGTGAAGTCGTAGCAGTAGTACTGTCAGTGTTTGTTGTGGTTTGTTTGTTTGTTTGTTGTTTAATGCTACACTCAGCAATATTCCAGCTATGTGGCGGCGGTCTGTAAATAATGGAGTCTGGACCAGACAATCCTGTGATCAACATCATGAGCATCTATGTAATTGGGATATAACGACATGAATTAACCAAGTCAGTGAGTCTGACCATGGTCCCGTTATTCGCCTCTTGCAACAAGTAGATGTTGGTGACAACCAACTAAATCCAGGATCTTCACGGGTAGTTTAATTTGTTGCGGTAGTTGTAGATTTGGTAGTGGTAGGTAGTGGTTGGTAGTGGTGGAAATGGGTGGGTTAAGCAGCAGCAGCAACAGCAGTAGTGAGTGAGTGAGTATCGTTTTACGCCGCTTTTAGCAATATTCCAGCAACATCACGGCGGGGGACACCAGAAATGGGCTTCACACGTTGCACCCATCGAACCCGGCTCTTCGGCGTGACAAGCGGACGCTTTAACCACTTGGCTATCCCACCGCCCCAAACAGGGGCAGCAGGTAGTAGTAGTAGTAGTAGTAGTAGTAGTAGTAGTAGTAGTAGTAGTAGTAGTAGTAGTAGTAGTAGTAGTAGTAGTAGTAGTAGTAGTAGTAGTAGTAGTAGTAGTAGTAGTAGTAGTAGTAGCAGCAGCAGTAGTAGTAGTAGTAGTAGTAGTAGTAGTAGTAGTAGTAGTAGTGGTGGTAGTTGTTCTGTATCAACAGCATACAAGTCACGTATACAACTACATATACAAGCATATTTCACTAAACTAACGTGACAGACCTTGAAAAATACTAATGTAAAATATTCCTGTACTGACACTTTAAATAGTTTATTTCTGATGAACGTTAGCTGACGCAGTTGGTCAGCATATTTTGGTCAAGTCCACCTTGACTAATTACTTCAGAAAGTGCAATGATGCCCGTGACGGCGAGAATGTACAACCAATTAACTCGCAGATTGCCACTTCACATTGCTTGCAAATCATGTGTGCACGCGCCGCACGAGGAAATATCTTCCCACTCGTGACATTTACCCACAACACGAAGACATACACTTTTATATCAGCTGATCTGATAAGACGCACAAGGGGAATGATCGAACACACCAGTCTACCGTTGTCGTAGTTGCCGCGAAACTACTAGTAACTAGCGGCTTACGCTATACATTCATAAACATTCCCGGCGACCGGCTTGGCTGGCAACCTGCCAGAAATGGCATGTGCAAGTTCGGTGCTGATGTTAGAGTTGTTACGATTAACCAATCAGATTACTCGCCTCCTAGAACGGTCCATATATTTAGGAGGAGTAGATCAACTATCTAAACGGACGAACTTGACACAGTTACATAAATATACGAGTCAAAATTTATTTTTGTCAATTATCCAACACGCCATAAGCTGTTTATATCGATTAGTGGTATGCTACCTTGAATTATGTTGTTTGTTTAGTTAATATTGGTGTTTCACACGTTTGACCTAGTTCCTAGGGAACCTGTCTCCCCCATGGTAGAAATACTGAAACCCACCATTCAATATAGACCATAACAGCCCTCCACACTCGCTGCAGACGAGTAGGGCTCGCAAGAAGGCAGATCTGACCGGACTCAAAAGAAACATGGGACGGATTTAATATTTTTCCGGGATGATTTTCAATTCTATATGATTTATCCGTCTTCTCAAAGGAGCTGCGTGGCAACACGGGTGGTGTCACTTCTCCGCTTCGCCGAGCTGGCGAAGGGGCGTCAGGGAGACAGAACCCAGGACCTGATCTGGGGAAAGGACCACATTAGTTGGATATTACGAATGACTTCCGCGGAAATGCTACGGTTTCTAACTCAAAAGCTTAAGTCTCAGTCTATAAATGAAGTTCAACCATTCCCAGGGCAGGTGAGTGTCGCATTTTACAAACTATGCACACCCATCACCCCTATTGTCATTAATAAACTAGTCCGCCTCGTCGCTACGAGAACCTTGATACGCTTACTACTACGAGTGTGCGGCACGCTTTTGATCTCGACGTATTTTATGTGATTTGCAGTTTTCGCTAAATTGTGGAGCAGTAACTATTACATGTGTTCTGTTTTTCACTGGGAATTATATGTATACTGTATAAGCGTAGTTGGGAACAGTTGTCATTCCCGAGGAAATGAAATTTATTCAAGTTAGACACCTGGTAAGACGACTTTTTGACAGCGACCACTTTCTTTGTTCTCGGTAAATATACTATTTATATGAGATACGAGGAGCGGCCTGTTGTATAGGCGAGGCATATTTACATTACGAGATGACAGTTAGTAAAATGCACCAGGGTTTCTTTGTACAATTGTTATGACCACTTTTCCCCGTAAACGTGTCTATCAGCTTTATTTATAGACATATTGACATACAGCAAATGCATGATAACTAACAGTCCCAATGACAGTGGTAATTGGCGACCGAATTATTCAGCTAATGGTAATGTTGACCTTTAGAAATGTTCAGTTTTAAGAAGAATTTTGTGGAAATGGATTAAAATAATAACATCCTTGTCGTCTGCCAGCCTTGGCACGTGCAGTGCGGCTGGGACTGCGCGTGAGGCAATATCTGCTGGTGTCATCATCCTCCTCTCCTCCTCTTTTGTTGAACAGACGGATGAGGAGGACAAGGACTCCGGAACCGAGTCGGATGACGAAAACGCACAATTCGAGGAGCTTGAGGACAGTAAGTAATGTTCAGTTTATGTCGTACTGATAACATATGCCCCTATGATGTGCACCTCATCCTGCACTGTTACAGCCGATATGACAGTACCAGTGCACTTACCTACTTCGGATGTCAGTATGAGTACTATGTATGTGTGTGTGTAAGTAGTGTGAGAATAATGAGTTGTGATTGCTTAGGAATGTATGACTGAAAATGGTAGGTAGAGCTATGTTTCTTGGCATGGTTGGAATGGAATAATCTAGTTTCTGTTTTGATATTCCTGTGCAAACAGTGAATGGTGCAGTCTCCCTACAGTGTAGCACTGTGTGCAGGTTCTCATATGGCCAAGTGAAAGTGTGTGTGCTTCTGTACCACCTGCTGTGTGTGGTATATATTTTATGCAATGGGTGGTACAATCAATACGTTCTAGATGCTAGGGGACTATAAACCATATTGCACTGCATGTAGTACCAGAAGGATGAGGGGGGATTTCACAGCCATCATATTGAAGTTGCAGAAACAGTTGATTGGGGGAACTGGAGGGGAATTATATTGAACTACTGCACTGGTGAAGAATGCAAGGGGAAAACACCTTGCACTGGTGGCAGTGTAGTGGAAAGGATGATATTTCGCTATATTTCCCTGCACCATGCTTTCGACATTATTAGATTGCAGTCAATGAAATAAAAACCTTTTCAGAAGGATTTTACAAAGTATGTAATCTTTTTCTAATTTAAACACATGATAGATGACATGAAATTTCTGCTCATGCAAAATCGTAAGGATGTACTGGTAATATTCAGTAACGACTGATGCACATTGCATCATCCATGACAGATGCTAACTCCCCCTTACACCTGCTGTGGTAGTAGGATAGTGCAACTTACCTGTTAAATTGCATTTGTTGTGTAATATTGCATAAATATTCACATATGAATTCAATCTTTTTGAAAAATACTTAGTTCCTTTTATGTTAAATTATATATTTCATATTTTTTATAATTACATGAACATTCACACATGCAATCTATCTCCTTGTATTACACATCATTCCTTTTTATATTAGATTTTATATTATTTTATATTCATTTCACATTGGAAGGCAATTAATATAATCAGATGAGTGATTATCCTTCACCTCCCACCCCCAACTCGGCCCCCCACCCTGCCCTAATGTACCTACCTTGATGTACAGGTCACCAGGGAATAGCCGGTTATTATATTTATACTCCAGCTCTTAACAAGAAACATAACATATGCAGTTATGTCCATCAAGGGAATTGGCTGAAATGGGAAATATATAGCTAAAATGATGGGGAAAGGGAAATATTTTTGCTGTTAGCTCCCACAAGCCAGTGCACAAAGGCACAGTCCCTCTGCTCAGTAATCAGCTCCTATGTTGGCAGCCAGCCAAGCTAAGCTACTCGAGTGGCTGGACTGACCGAATTCAAATACCTGATCCACTGGGCTTGCAGGGTTACCCAACGTCTCCTGGTCGTGCCGTAATGGCCACTATTTACTTCCATTCTCCATTGTTTTTACATTTGATTATATTAAACTTCTTGAAATAATTTTTTATTAAGATATATATTATGTCTCTAATCCATACCTGAGTTATTCATTTGTGTCAAGATAATGCCTGGCATTAAGGGATGAAACAAGGACTGGTTGGACAGAGTCCCATACTATTATATCGTATTCATTACGAAAAAAAACAACACAAAATATGCGACGATAGCAGTACAAATATACAAATTTAAAAAAATAATACATTAAATTAAATGATCAAATAGCATACCTACCATACACATTAAATTTCAATCACATTTTATTCAGTATCAAGCTGTATGTGGAGACTTACTACTGATTTTGGTGAATACAATGTCAGTAACAAGGTCTTAGACAATATATAATTCTTTGGAAAAGTTAATACTAATTTTGGCCCCAAAATACCAATTTTTGCATCAGTTTTTGGCCAAAATACTAATTGGGCTAAATTAGGGTTGTCATCACGCACGCACGCATGCTCAAATTGCTATATGTAGGCAGAGTACATAAACAATAAGCCCCTTTACCCCATATTGTTATGGTTCATCAACAGTGTTCATAGAAAATTGGTCATGAGGAAAGAAATGTTTATAATGTACTTTTAAATCTTTATTTCACTTTGTATTATGTTCAAGTAACATATTCCTTGTTTTTAATATTCTGAACTTGAGCTTCATTTTATGTTTATTTCCTCATGAATACTGCATGATCATCATGTGATTCAACAAAATAATTCAGCTGACAACTGAACAGGTGACTTCTGGAATGAATAGCCTATTCTTATGCTCTCAGGGAATATGAAATATTCATGCATCGAGGGATACGATATAGTTATACACCATGTGAGAGATATATATACCATGTATTCTATACACTTCTCTTGTATTATCTTTCAAATTTAGGTTTCACTAGGTATTACTTGTTACATACTTTACTCCATTCACATTCAGCTGGAGACCAGGTATGTGGCTAAATACTAGTACTCCATATGATATACAAATTCTGGTTTTAACAATGTATGATGCTATAACTATAGATGGGGTGATATCTTGAATATACCTCAAAGCACCTGTTTTCTGACTCAAACTCCTGACTTTGCAGTATATGAGGATGCACCAGGAAGTTGTGAGTTGTGGTCATGGTATACTGTAAATCTGTAAAGCATATGTTACTGGTAATTGTAAACATATGATCTCTAAATGTTGTACATTGATACAGACTGGCCTGGGTCTCCTCACCTGTACAGCAAGTCAAGCAAGCTATCACCATAACAAGATGTAAAGGTGTAGAGAAATCAATAGGCAGGATCCCTATGCGCAGGATCAATACATTAAATACAGACAGGTTCTTGCATAACTGTTAATCATGTAAAGTGCAAATGAATAAACCTATTTCAATAAGAACTTTATATACGTGCCAGGTCAAGATGACATAGCTATTAATTTGCTTATCCTGTAAAATCACTTATTGAGGCTTTTTTCAGGGAAGCAGTACTTGTAGAATTATGCACATGCTTATGATGTCAGTACATGGAGAGAGCTTAGCCTCACACTCCCCATCTGTGGCCAGGGAAACAGTACTTGTAGAATTATGCACATGCTTATGTCAGTACGTGGGTGGGATGGCATTGCCTCACTCTTCCCATGGCCAAGTGGATGGAGCGTGTTCCAAGAGATGTTGGGTGGTTCAAACCAAAAGATGGTAGGAGATGGTACTTGATTCCCTATCTTGCATGCTGCGTTAACTTGACAAAACAAGAACTGGTATCTCATGCTCACTCACTCACTCACTCACTCACTCACTCACGTATAAACATTGACTTTGTTTTTGACGGTATACCATACAACAAGTGATAATTCATAGTTAATTTGTGTGCATCTTATCAATTGGGATCTATGTCAAAGCGTGTAACTGATTTTTATTATGTGCCTCAGATGACTGTGTAATGAAAGTCACCTTTGCATTATTTAAGCAGATTATTAGGTCATTTAGCACTGATGTTATTGAAAATGATCAGTTATTAAACAGAAGTGAAGATATTAAATATGCTGGGCATTGAAATGAAAAAAGGAATGAATATAGGCAGATTTGATTTCAAAAAAGAAAAAAATGTTTTCATGAATGAATTGTTTGCCATTATATAGATAATATAACAAAGAAAGGTTTTCAGATCCCTTTAATAATATAGTAAATAATAGAGAACCTAGGTCATGGTGCACTTTGAATGGTTTAGCCTACATGTAACACAAAGGCCAGCTGTGGAGAGAATGCAAGACACTTCCTTCCTATCTGATCAGCTTACATGTGAGAAGGACAGACTCTAATCAGTATATCACTCCGACAGACAGCATGTTGGCAGGGACATTTATCAATTATGTACTATATATCTTCTCTTTTGTGGTGGTGGCAGAAGGAAGCAGACTATTCAGATTTGACCATAATGAATAAGACATAAGATTTCCTGTTTCCTTGACAGAGAATGTACAAAATAGGTTATTACATGCAGGGTCATATGAATATATACATATGATATGTATTACATATATGTATCACATATGTGTCACATTTAGGAAAGAGGGATGCCAGTTTGAAGGGGTAATGTGACACATTTTGCTTCAAGGGTCAATGATACTTTGATACTTTGTGAAATTCTGCATGATCTACATGTTTGATTGTTATGTATTGCTCTTGAAATAAGCTTAGGTACATCAAATATTTTCCCCTGAACTCTTTGGGGCGGTGGGGTAGCCAAGTTGTTAAAGCGTTGGCTCGTCACGCTGAAGGCTGGGGTTCAATTTCTCACATGGGTACAATGTGTGGAGCCCATTTCTGGTGTCCCCTGCTGTGATATTGCTGGAATATTGCTGAGAGCGGTGTAAAACCATGCTCACTCACTCACTCACCCTTGTACGTTTGTCTAGCAGTGTGCCCTAGTCACTATATGAATATTCTGATGGTGTTGCTATTAGCTTCAAGGAGTTGCCTTCCCCAAGGTCAAAATGTTTTCTGCATATTTTTCTTCTCTATACAGTTTGCAACATTAGCTGATTGTATTTTCACCTGGGACATATTGAGTACAATGTATTTTCACCTGGGACATATTGAATATGATGTATTTTCACCAGGTGCATATTGAATATGATGTATTTTCACCAGGTGCATATTGAATATGATGTATTTTCACCAGGTTCATATTGAATATGATGTATTTTCACCAGGTTCATATTGAATATGATGTATTTTCACCAGGTACATATTGAATATGATGTATTTTCACCTGGTATATAAATAATGTATTTTCTCCTGATGTATCAAGTACAGCGTACTTTGATCTAGTACATTAGCTATGCCAAGGAGAGACTCATTAGATAAAACAACTGTTGTCTGTGTTCCGGCTAAGTAAGGATTAATTGTGAATGAGTTGGGCAAAGAACTTCCTCTCATAATTAAGTGCTTCACTGTTTCTTACT